ATCTTTTTTCTAGGCTCCGACTTGACGCTACAACACCTCCTGCAAGCCATGTTTACACCCGTTTGCTCTTGTTCGAATGCAGCGTCGGCGTGTTAGACTTGCCAGTAGCAGAATACAAACGCATGTGTTGGACACCAGTTTAGGGAGAGTGCCTTCGATGAAACTTTACTTTCTTGAGAAACACCATAATTTTTTGTTATTCATTGATGAGGTCGAAGCTCAAAGAGCGGCCAACGTAAACTCATTGGCCTGTAAGCGCAGCTCCGAGACCATCATCCTGGGTTAGGCACTTCAGTTTTTTCTTATGCTTCATGCGGGGCAGCTGGAAAGCATGTGCGTTCGTTTGCACGGATCATCAATCATTGCAGTCACAAAATTATCAACGATGTCTAGATTCCAAATATTACCGACTGCAACTTGCCAATGATTTTAGGCTAGCCTTGTACAATAATTTTTTAACTGGTGCAGTTTTAATGCGTCACAGTGTATTCCAAAGAAACAGGAAAACGTCTTGTAAAAACATGCATGGTTTGTGACTTTTAGTATCATAGCTGGATATTTAAAAACGTTGACAGCAATTGCAAATGTGATTTCACATAGAGGTGTATGTCCAGAATTGAACACCGCAATGACAATCATTTTGAATGTCATTCGCTTTGAATGACATTACACGTGCCGTGCGACAGCGGTATCACTCTCACTCGTATTTACCAAATGTTTTCTAAACTAGAATCACTCGGACTCAGATTAACTAAGACTTTTCTCAGCCGAAGTTCTGCGCACTCACACCGACCAAAATTACTGACTCGGACTCACTCCGATTCATGGCTCTACCTGAGTCTCAGTGAGCATGAGTGAGCTGACCGAGTGACTAACTTAATAGCTCGTTAGCGTTTAGCGTTAATAACGGTGTCTTCAAATAAGGTGTCAATGCTCTTCAACGTCCGTCTCTCTCGTAATCAACACTCTACTTGGCGCCTATTGACGTCTTACCTTCAAATAGGAGATATCAGAGGTTGCAATCTAGTAAGGACAATTTTATTAAAAGCGAAGACACATATTTTTATCAAAAGTTACGGGCGAAGAGTATGATGGGGCGCAGGTCACCGCACCCGTTTCTTTCCGTCCTGACTTGCATATCTGATCAACATATTTTGATCTTGCACATGAATACTCGTGCTTTGAAATGTGTGTTAGTGGTGTCAGTACTAACGTGAGCCGGCGTATAAAGCTGATTGCTATGTAGCATCATGTTGAGAAAATTGAACTGTAAATAGGTAAAAACGTTTAGACGTCACTAAGACTCTCCTAGGAAATGCATTTTTCTCCAAAGTCTCACTCGCACTCAAACTCGCCAAACTTTTCCTCAAACACATTTACTCAGATTCAAGCTCAACAAAGTATTACTCACCCGGACTGACTCAGACTCAGAGTCAAAGTTTGATCTGAGTCTGAGTAAGTCAACTCAACGGTGTGGTTGGCCGACCAGTGGTTCGCATAATATAGTTCGTTTGCGACAAATTGTAGATTTTCGTCTTTAAAAACTAGTAAGCTAAAATTATTTATAACAACATCTTTGCCCAAATGCCGAGGCCGCATTTAAAAAGTTTTCAACTGTCTTTTACAATGGGCGGAACGTATTTGGCTATCATTTTCATTTTCTGTGCTGGCTGAGTGTGTTGTTTGTGAAAAATATTGCCAAGAATTTTTTTTGCAATTAGGCTTCCAATCTTGCACAAATATTTATCAGAGTCTGCCGACAAAACGCAAGTTTTAAATTTCAGATGCATTGCTGATTGATTGATTGATATGTGGGGTTTAACGTCCCAAAACCACTATATGATTATGAGAGGCGCCGTAGTGGAGGGCTCCGGAAATTTAGACCACCTGGGGTTCTTTAACGTGCACCCAAATCTGAGCACACGGGCCTACAACATTTCCGCCTCGATCGGAAATGCAGCCGCCGCAGCCGGGATTCGAACCCGCGCCCTGCGGTTCAGCAGCCGAGTACCTTAGCCACGAGACCACCACGGCGGGGCTCAGATGCATTGCTAATCTATTCTTTGCAGTTAAAAGTACATATTGCTTTAGTGCGTTTCGTTAGTAGAAAATATCCTACTCAACACGACTTTCAATATCTATCCTAAATTGCTCTAACACGCAACCTCAAGCCGGCAATTGGTACTAATGAAGTGATGGAATTGATACGTCTCCAATATTTGTCAGCTTAATTTTTTGTATGTTTGTTTTTAGCTCGCGAGATTCAAGCATTTGTATGATATCAAAAAATGAAAAGCATTGGAGGGACGTTCGAAGAACGTCTTCTACGAGAAACAAACGCTATATAAAAATGGTGTGTGCGGCGTGACCTGTGAGTAGTATGCGGTTGGTTGTTTGGCTTGGTGGATATTTATTGAATGTAGGGGAATAACTTTGTTTATTTCTGAGATGGGTGATTTCTTGGACATTCTTGCAGAATAGAAAAACATCAGTTCGCTGTCCCTACAAATCATATGTTTGACGTTGGGTGCGTTCAGATAATAGCACTGCTGCATGTCAAAAGACCAACTCTAATTTCGTAGAAAAATGCGCATATTTGGCTGTCCGCGTCTTCAGAAGTCTCCATTGAGCATACACTGTTTTTTTTTTTAATTGTGCGAAAGCCAACATAGACGAGATCCCACAGAAGATATATTGTATAAGCCTAAAAAAATATTTGACATTCTACAAGTAACGTAATTTTCAAAATGCGATTTCGCAGTTGTGTAGGCCATAATTTAAGGAACGAATTTTCGAATACGACACATTGCCCTCTAACACTTCAATTTTTGCGCATGCTTGCTCCTATAATAATAAGAATTTTCAAAATGCTTCATACTGTTGTCACAAATTGGACGAACTTGGCCAAATGTGTTTTTTCAGAACGGCATCAATGCCGACAAAAACACTCAAGTGAACGCATGGAAATAAAAATGCAATAATTTAAAAATTCAATTAAAAGAACACTTTCGGTTTTGTTCAAACTCTCCAGAAAAACTCAAGCGCGTGCTTTAACTTTATCTGAAAAAATATCTTACATTATGTCTATGAGATTAGAGTCATGAAGCAACCAAAGTAGCCAAATTAATGATCACGCCCAACCATCTAACTGAACGAGCACGAAGCTACGACTGTCATTCTCATGGTTTTTTATGTAAGTGTATTCTCTCACGTTCATTTTGCAAGAAAGTGAGAAAAAAATATGGATACTTACAATTAGGAGCCATTTTTTTCATATGTTTGTTGTTCATTGCAAAAACAATTAGCAGAAAAAGTGCAGTTGCATGCTAGCTTGAGTTACATTGTCACATGGAGTAGTTTCTTCTGCCCTAATATGCAGTGGAAGGCATTAAAAGGAGAGTGAGTCTCCACATACAGGGTGTTGGAGGCGGCAACGTCAACTTTCACTTTGTATAGAAACAGGCGCGGAACGTTTCTGGAGCACCCTTCACTGTTTGATCCTATATATGTATTAATTCTTCCTATTTTGCCTTCTTCCGAGCGGTGGGGCTGCAAAAGCACCACCTGTGCCGCAGTGATCCCTAGGCTGTAAATATGTGCTCTCGTGCTCGCAAAACGGCAATTTTATATAATACTCAATAGTCATCAATACTCATCATGAAAATTGAAACAGCAACAGTGCATCTGCTTTCATGGCTGTCAGTCGTGTCATCGACAACCCGGAAGTGCTCTAGTGAGTATCTTCGGTGAGCCTGTACGCGCTTCTGGAATGCTCCCTTGACTTTTGCGACTCAGGGTCACTAGTCAAAGTGAGCGTTTCGAGCTTTCTGGACAAGTACAAGCAAAATACTCGCTATAAAAGGAGGTTACGTAGTGCGGAAAAATTATATATGACCTTCTCTATGATCCTCTTGTCAGAAGCGCTCTGTATCTATAAAACTGCTTCAGCATCTTCAAAGAAATTGCCGTAATACTTTTGGATATGTCTGCATCTCTCAAAAAGTTACACGGCTCAGTAGCTAAAATTATTATTTACTCTACATGAATGTCTCCTCCGAACACTGCAGTGAAGTGGAAACATGATTTTCGGACATACTACATCAGGCGCAAGAAGGTGCCATCTCCGAGACACTTTTAGCGTAGAGCCATTCATCCCATGATACCTGCCTCACGGATGGTGTATATAGGGGCTGAAGGAACTGATACATACAAAACCCCGATTCATATTAGCATCAAGACGAACTTCTTTGACAAGCGCACCATCTGTTTTTTTTTCCTCGTCCCTTGAGAGCTGGTTCGCTTTTTGTTTTCTGAAAATTTTTTTTCGCCAGAAACAATACTTCAACGAGTTCAAAACATCATATATACAAACTCGCTCCATAAAGCAGCTTTTTGTCTTCTTTTGGTCAATTTGCTGTTTTATGAAGATAAGAGAACAGCCACTTTAGTGGCTTTGACTCTCCTATCTCAAAAAAATGATGCAACATGTTTACAGAGTATGTAATGCGCTCGCTTGGATTTATTCTCGGGCGTTTAATAAAAATGGCGTTGCTCAATAGAATATCGAATGGTTGCAGTTTAAGTGGCATGCTTTCTAACTTATGTGTTTTCGATTTGCTTTTGAGAATTATGTCGGTGAGCATACTTAGGTAAAATTGTTAACTAATGTGTGAAAATACACTGGGAAACTTGGTAAGTTCTTACTGATATTCAGGCTAGCTGATAGTCAGGCTAGTTATCTATAGTAAAGTTACCTTTATTCCGTACGGTACTTTGCTGCTTTCAGTGAAGTAAATGAGATTATTTCATATCAGTGTGGTATGCGTCAGATAAAGAAGACAGCCAAAGCGAAAATTTCAATTGCGTAGGCTTGTGGTTACTTCTCCTAGTATCAATTAGACCTATTTACACTCCTAGTAACAATGATAATTAAGGTTTCAGAAACTAGTTTGAAGTTCGTGGAGGCATTATGTCGCCTTAACGCTATTTTAATTTCGCAGTCCACCTTGACGCACTTGTGGTACCTCTCCGTGGATTTCCAGCTCTTCGTCGTGGCAGTGGCTGTAATACAGACATTTCGGACGTGAGTGAGCTCAATGTTTGAACCATATGGCGAAGATATCATTTTTAAATCCTGAGATATTTTTCGTGGTACCTATTATGAATACTTAACGGTAACCAGTGCATAAATGGAGTTCAATGCCTGTTTGACAAGGGCTGGTGCGTCCGCTTTCCTAACAACAAACAGTATGTTTCAACGCATTTTTAAAAAAATGTCTATTAATTACCCTAACCTTACGTAATTCATCTGAGAAAATATAACTATATCACGCTGCAGACAGTCGAGCTAACTATTGCTCAAAATATTGTTTTGCATATGATTGAATGAGAGTATAAATGCTTCTTCGTATCGGAGAAAGGTGTGTTCCGTCGAACGCTACACAATATGGGAAGATTAGAACGGAAATCCTCTGTCATTGTAAAACAGAGAGGCAGGGGCTCGTAGATGTTCAGGCAAGTTAGTGTTGCTTTTATTTAAGTTAAGACGCTATATGTTAAAAAGTAAGATGCTTTTCTAAACAACGTGCATATGTGTAGCGTAACTAATGAGTTCACGTGAATGCGTGCAAATTATGACTACGTATTTTTCATTAGCGTGTGCTGAGAAATCACAAACATCAGCAAGAGATTTGATGAAGCCATCAATGCCATAATATATAGCTGAATGTGCAAGTTTGTGCTCATCTGTGACTCACCACTATACTGTCGATCATTCGACACACTTACTGTCGCGGCCAGCAATGTCACTAAAGTATACTTTTTGTTCGTCCTGTGCATTAAAGTGTACACTGGGCACAACGCATTGTAGACTATCCTTATTTTATACCAGTCCAACACTTCTAGGTTAGTTGACTGTCTTGTTCCCAGAACATAATCGCCCATGAAAAAAATTGTTTTGCATCTTGATTATTACATTACTTTCTTTTTTTGACAGAAGTAAATGGCTCACTGCTTCCATCTTTGCGATGCTGTCGTTGCTATGTTGTGGCATCGCTGCGTGGCAAATATATGGCACCTATATGCTGCCATTCATGGTCACTTTGCATACAACCTACAGGTAACCAACAGTTTAGTTCTAATACATGACATCCAGTTTTCAGCAAACGCGTTACAGTGCGAGTGTGACCAGATTTACTTCTTGTTAGGAGATATGGAGGAGATGCGCTCATTTTTGTTTTATAAGAACTTTTGCAGCACATGGTCAGAAAACGCCCGCTCGAAAGTACAGCTAACGCTTGCTTCATCTTTGATTATAACTCTAACAATGAGTAAGAGAGTGGGTCTGTTCTTTACAAAACTAAGCCAATAAACCTACGTAGAAACGGCACAGAATTATTCTTACTACAACATAAAGCGTCTTCAAGCGTCTTCAAGCGTTTTGAAGCGTCTTCAAGTGAGCAAGCTCAACTTTTGTTGCGGCATTACTTATATGATTCTGATAGGTTTCTGCCGGGGCATTCATGTCTACTATGAAGTTCGAATCGATAACACCGCGCCGAGCGTAGCATGTCCCACCCGCGAGTGAAAGCGGGATGTGTGGTGGCGCATGCAACTGAGAGATATAAAATGGGCCGGCTATTTTCATCGTACGAAGAGCGCATGCGATAAAACCAATTCACTTGCGAGGGCGGCCATCAATTGGTCAACAGGCAAAGAGGAAACGTCAAGCCCATTTTCGTTTGGCGAAGGAGGCATCAGCGAACACTAGGGGAGATCGATTGACATGTGAGGTTTCACGTCCCAAAACAACCATATAAATATGAGAGACGCCGTAGTGGAGGGCTCCGAAAGTTTTGACCCCCTGGGGTTGTTTAACGTGCACCCAAATCTGAGCACATGGGCCTACAGTATTTCCACCTCCATCGGAAATGCAGCCGCCGCAGCGGGGATCCAATTTCGTGACCTGTGGGTCAGCAGCAGAGTACCTTAGCCACTAGACCACCGCGACGGGGCGAACACCAGGGGAGAAGTGTGGCAACTTGGGCTAGTTGGTATGACATGACGATAGTTATAGCGCGAGAACAGAATGACGACACAAAGACCTTCGTTGTGCCTGACATGTTGAACGTCGACACAGAGCTTACGACACAGAGACCTGATGTGTCCTTCGTGTACTTCTTGTCTCTGTGTCGTCGTTCTGTTCTCGCGCTATAACTACTGTCACCAGGAGAGAGGGAGTTTGCGTTGCTGTATCAGAAAGTATGAACTTTAATCAGAAGGACCAGGTCGCGAGATCTGGTACACATGCTCGTACCCGTGCTCCGCTTTCATCAGCTTACTTTGCGTTAGGACCCAATACCGCATGAAAATTATTTTGCTTCCAATAGCGGCCGCATTACTCCCCCCCCCCCCCCCCCCCCCCCCTGTTTTGTATCGTTACGAGAATCGCATCCAAACAGTTAGGTGATAGCCTCACTTTGCATTCCATCATAGCTTGTTGCTATCGCATTTTGTGCTTCGCCCTAGTTGTGAAAGTGCGATTGTTTCATTTTAAATAACTGTTTTTATGTATTCTATGTCTTGCCAGATCTCCTAAGCCAGTTCGAAGGCAGCATCATAGCAAATTCAGCCTAGCTCGCAAAGTGTGTTCACGTTTACTGTCTTCTTACCGCTCTGGAACAGAATCCGGTGTGGCAAAAACACATTGCGAAAAACAATCTTGTGTAAACATTTTATTTAACCCATTCTTCGCAGGCCATTTTTCGTGCAACTGCGTGTTTGTAACATTTTCTTATGTATCTCTTACAGAGAATTAATTGACACGACCACTCAATACTATCAACTCCCATTCTATCATGCCGTCTGCTTCTTCTCAGGATGCATGACGTTTACTGTCGTTGAACAATATGGCAAGGTGAAGATCTCGAAGGTGAGTCAGCCACACTTTGCTTTGCCTTGATGGCAACACGTTCAACGCTGCATTTGTTATTTATTTACGCATAGTTCAGAGTAGCATTACAACATCCTAATTGTTATTACACGTACCGAAATCATGATGCACTGCAACAGTGATGGTGTAATGGTTAATGCACCGGGCTGTTGTGCTCGAAGAGAAAATGACAGAAAGTGCGAGATCGAAGGTTGGCCACAGGTGTAGGAACAGAAGGTTTTATATATTTTAGCAAGAGAGGCAGGCTCGACAAGCTGCAAAATAACGAATTTTATTCAACACTGTTCCGTCTGCCTATACAAAAATGGTATTCACTGATTCATTATTTATAAACTATGCTTTTTTACTTAAAACGCAAGTTGTCTTGACCACTGAGCTAGACTTCGATGCTTCCAAAGAGTGAATGTCTGAACCGTATGAATGTATTGACTGCATGCAGTATAAAAACATAAAAAGAGCGCAGTCTCTATGAACGTTTCGTCGACCATCTTGGTATTGGCATAAACGTTATCTTTTAAGCATAATTTTAAAACCTACAAGGTCAATCGTCAACTTCAATAACATTTAGTCTGAAACATTTTGAAGCTTGAAATGTGTATCACTGGCCGCGCCATCCTTCATTTAAGAAGCCATTCAAAATGTACCAGCTTGCACTAAGTCGCACAAAACCGCTTATCAGAACAGCAGGTAAACACATAGCTTATCCTGAGGTGGTGGCTTCTTTCCCACCTCTTGCTATACCGTAAGATGCAAAGCGGTACATGGCGCCTATCACTTTTTTTAATCTGTGTATTTCTCTATTTCTTGCTCGAGTGCTGTAGGCATACATCGAACAGCTGTGCTGCTACATTCCTACAGGGGGTTTATGTGATATTGGGCAAATGCCACTTGCCACTAAACTGGTTCACTAAAATTGTGCAATAGCACTCAAAGTGAAACCTGCAGGAAGTGTGAAGCAATAACTTGTCTATCCTTAAGTGACGAATTAAAATCGCTTTTTTTTTTTGGGGGGGGGGGGGAGATATATTTAGTTGATAAGACTATCTCTTGAACAAAAACTGCCCTTTGAACGAGACACGAGAGTCGAAGTAGACAACGCGAATGGAGCCTATGAACGTCACTGAAAGATCTGTTTCTTCAGCAATGATCCCGTTTACGGGCAAGTGCACGCCACAGTTCGGTCTATGTAGCGTGCTGTGTTACCATGGCGTGAAAGCATAGCTTCATTTGTGATGCACTGGGAGCCTTATTCTTCCTGCTTTCCAGCTTCTAGCTCTCTCTTTCACATACTTTTCCTCACCCCAATTAGGTGAATCGTCCAATCGCTAAACTATGCTGTTCACAGCTATTATGGGTTCTTCCATCCGCTTCACTCTCATATCTCTTTCCCGCACACTTACTATACATATCTATGTGTTACATGATTTTTCTGCATGGCGCCGAAATTGGCTACGCTGTGGTTTGCCCACTCTCTTTCTGATTGTCCTCTTCCTCCTATCCTTCACATATATCTCACAAACTCTTGCTACAATTGGCTGAGTTATACATGGTTTTGTCGTCGCGACACTGTTTTGCATGCGAGACGCCGTGTGGCGAGATATGGCAATGACAGCAAGCAGTGACAACATTTCAGTCCTCCTCCTCATCTCTTCCTCCATTTTCTCCTCCTTACTTTCACATCGCACCGCGTCTGCTTCCATTCCCTTTGCCGTCCCCTGCGAAACGTGGCCATGCTACAGATGGCTATAGAGCAAGAGCCTAATACAGCTCGGGCGCCCAAAGTGCTCCGAACTTATTATCGTCATCAAGGTGCTCGAAAAACGAGACTTCTTCGTGGTGTTACGTGCACGTGTTCAGTATATGCTACAAATGGCTACGCTGAACGCGATTGTGGCTGCGTTAGCCAAGTGACGACTGCATTCTATGACAACATACGACAGCTCGGGCCTTAAATTGCTCCGCCTTTATAATTAACAAGTGAACACACGGGCAGCGAAAATTGATGAGGGACCACACATTGCGACTTCTCTTGTTAACCATTTGCATAGGGTGCTTGGGCGGCGAGCGCGTGCGTGTCGATTCTGGACAATGATCATTTTTTCTCTATGACACATGGCGAACTTCGACTAAAAGAGCTCTGCTGTGAATGGTAGAGAACATCAGGAAGAACGCGCCCTGCCGATCATTAGTTTTGCAAGCAATAACAGAACTGTCTCACTATCAGAGATTATTCCATCGATAATCGAGAGCTGCAAAAAATTTCGAATCTGCAAAGTATGAGCAGAGTTCCAGGTATTTGTCGCACGCTTTAAGCGTCTTCCTTCTTGTGACTGAACGATTCAGCTGAAACCTACACAAGTAGGGGGTGGGGTATGACATGGGGTAAAAAGCTATGTCAACATGCGTCATGACCAAAGTAAATGCATCTGACAGCGAAGCTTCCTACTTCCATACGGTCACGAAATGGCCACTCATCTGTCAATCACGGGTTTTAGCGTCGTCTGTGTGCAAAGGGAACATTTTCCGTGCAACAAAAAATAAAGCGAGTGTGGTGCAATATAAAATAAAAATTTGACATCATTTGTTGGCGCAAACTACAAACTTTAACAAAAAAATGTTTTCCTTGTCCTTGATCACTAATAACTCGCTCTATGGCTAATCCTAAACGAGTTTGCTTGAAGTTAACACCAGTAAAAATAACCTCTACCCATAACTAGACAATACTGCTGAATATGCAGCTGTTTATTTGCCGTGCGCACATAGTAGAAAACTTAAATCTCGGCACTTTTATTCTGCTTTCATGGCAACTTCCACAGCCAGATTAGAGCGAGCAGAAGTGTACATTTTATAACTGATGAGTTGTTTATTTGCTTATCACGTACGTAGGCATCCTAAAGTGTGCATTTTGTTGTGCTTCATTCACTTATAACCAAAAGAAATCAGACCTAGTGATGCCAGTGTTGAGATAGTTATGTTTCATTCGATGGTGAAAATATTTCAGCTTAACATCACTGTATGCAAACATCAGCGGGGGGGGGGGGGGGTGATAGGCAAACACGTTACGTGAACACTGCATGCAGTATTTTGCTTTACGCTCTGGTAAACTACTCTTAAGTGCAATATATGCATGCGTGAGAATTGTAGCGGCATAGATAACTAGGCCATCTGCTTGCCGATACCAAAAAAAAAATGATTGTATCAACAGGGCTTTCAAGAGGAAACAGTGCCACAAAAATACTGATTCCTAAACATTCAGCGAGTAGAATATTCTGAACTACTACCCCGGTCTCTTATCAGAAGACGCGGTCGTCAGGCATACGTGTGCTGCCATTCCATCCTTCCAAAACACATCGTTCGCGTGGGTACCGGGGCAAGCGTTGGTAGTTAGTTAGCCTCATCCTCCCGTTCTCCGTTTGACACAGCGCATAACGCGTTCATCGGCGAGGACACTTTACACAACACGCTAGCCACGATCAAAGCAAAAAGCAAGCTGTTTTTGCTTCCATACGGTAGCCTTGTTCACAAAGGGAAAATTCATTGCGTCAACAGTCCGGTCATGTACGTTTTAAAGTATGACCTAAGAAACGTGTGTAAACAAGTGGGAAGTGTCTGTCATTGCCATTGAGTGCATGCGCCGTTCTACGAACTGCAATAGAGTCCAGACATTGCCTTACGTGACAGCGAAGCTTTCATAGAAGGCTCCCATGTGGGAGCCAAAGCGTCTTGCCTTTTGGTTTTATAGTCGTCAATGCGTCTCTTCTTCGGTCATGTGTGTTCCTAGACAGACGGGTTTCTGTCCAACTCTAGACAGCGCTTTCACGAATGATGAAACGTACCCCACAACTCCAAGCACAAAAGCTTCAAATTATCACCACAGTATTTAAGAAAACGCATGTAAGAATGAAACACGAAAAAAGAGAAAGAATAACGAACGTTTCGCAGCACTTCTGCATTAAAGCCCAAAGAAGCACAGGCAGCGCCAGCGCCCGGCACACGTAGAACCTTGTCGGAAAGTTTCAAAAAATCAGTGTGCGATATGTGCGCAATTTTTCGCATAACTTTATTGACTCTTTGTGTATTGTGGAAGCTGAGATTCGTGTCATCTGCTGTGATGGCGAGTTTCGTAAACTGTACATCAGGCGTACCATCGACGCCAGGCCGATGAAGCGTCAGGACCACTCGCTCGCTCGGTGAGGCAGTCGCACACTCGCTTGCTGACTTGCAGGGCCCGTTGCAGATTTCTGAAAAGTTTCTGAGCGTGCATGCCACATGCGATGTATCGATGAACGAAATACTGGACCCCAGAAAAGGGCGTTTCCTAAAAATGAATTATATCAGTGTGGCTTTCCATACAGCAAAACAGCCGCAATGAATAATAATAGCGTGAGCCTTTCTTGAGAGAGCGCTCATAAACACTTCTTTGGTAATACTAAACCCTATCATAAACTGCTTGTACATCGCACCTATACCTGGCATTCCTCGGGAAATAAATGTGTTGTACAAAATATGAAAGTTCGTTTGACCTTAAATAATATTTGTCTTTTCTCTGTTTATTTATTCATTTGTTTACTTATTAGTGAATACTGCCAACTTCAATGTGAAGTCATAAGCAGAAGTAGGTACATATATATACATTAAACATTACATTTTACAATGCATGAAAACAGCAGGAAGTACTTATAACAAAAACAATGCGCCCAGAAAAAAAAATATAGAAGAGTTCCAAGTAGTTGGCCAACGCTTCTGCGATATCTGCTCTGTCGACTACATTTGTATTGTTTATTGAAAGAATAAATGAAGCTTTATTTTTGGTGCAATATATTGTGTTTGTTTTTCCCATAGTTAGTCGCTCTTCAATCGCAGCACCCTTGCCTGCCTTTGCCCATGTCGTTGACAATATTGTCAGTACCGCTTTTCACTCAAAGCTTCGCGACCGATTTGGATCAACCTTGCAATAGCATTAAGCACTTTCTTTTTTTCTTTTAACACTTCAGCTCAATTTTGAAACGACATGTGCGTGATAATGTATACCTAGTGGCCTGGTGTGCGACCAATGGCGGCGCTGTGAACGGTGCTCCTATGACGTCAATTTGAGAATTTGCGCGCTTTGATTTTGAGGCATGGCACCGTACAACAACTACCAGGCGTGATAAAGTTCGGCAAAGAAGAACTTAAATTGGTGGTTTGATGTGGGCTGGCTACCGATGCTGTGCGGAGCACCGTGGGTCTCCGCTTTTCACTCATTTTCAAAGCACAGCTGTCTGTTTTATAGAACTGCGTGCGGCCGCTAGTCTCTGTGGCGAGTGCTCCACAATATTATATGTTAAAAGGCAAGTATCAGTAATGGTAAGAACATTAAACAGCACTTTTAATGGCCTTCCCTGGCTCATTCAAGAAATGTTACTTTAAAATCCACCTCTACAACCTGCAATAATATGTACTATTGGCAAAGCAATTTTAAAAGCTGCAAAATATTTATGGTCTCTTTTGTTTGCTGGAATAACAGAAATTTGTGGCACCACACCTAAATATTTTTACATTAACTTAAGAGGGGTGGCAACATTGAATAATAAAACTTGTTGGGAGTTGTAGCTAGGTTCCTAATTTAAAACATTAACGCAATGCAAAATTTAATACGAGCTCGACAGCTACTGCAGACCAGCAGTGAACATAGCTTGTATGTTAGGTTACACTTGACCTGCTTTACACATTTTAAATTACACGCGTAGACATTGTCTCATCTTGATTTGAACGAACACCGAGTATTCATCACTTCACCGAAGTCGATCACGACGGAGGCGTTGTGTGGTGGGGTGGCAAGTCGACTTGCTTGCAGGACGAGAGCCACGATGGTGATGTGGTCTCCGTTGACAGCCTCAACCGCGCATTCAGCCTCGAACGCGGCCTGTGTAATGCGAACAAGTTGGCTTCCTCCCGGGCACGAGGTCTCACATTTCACGCCAGGGAGAACCACTCGGAAGCTGAGGACGTTACTTATTAATTCAGAGACCCATTGCTAGTTTTTAATAAAACTTGCAAACGTTACCAGTTGCAGTGGCAGAAGTACCCGCTCCCGCACCACATTTAACCAGACCTCAGTTCATCACTGTATGACTCTTACAGACGGAGGCGTATGCATTGCCTCCAATGTGCTCTAAATACATGGATGGCATAGATTAGTTGTGCCCCCGCTGTGGTAAGCCCAAATGCGCTTTGCACCAGATGATGTGGCAATGCCCTGTGTTGTGCGAGAGCAGCGAGTCTCCCTCCATGGAGGTTGACTGAAACTGTCTCCTCACGTGCCACGACAAAGGAGACCAGCTTAGGGCCTTCCAGAGTGCCTGAGACATGGCCGTGGAGTTTAACCTCCCCGTCTCGTCATGGGAGTGGCCCACCTGTGTCGCCTCCTAAAGGGGTTGAACGCCGCCTCCGGATCCTAATAAAGTTCTTTGCCTGCTTGCCTGCCTGCCTGCCTGCCTGCCTGCCTGCCTGCCTGCCTGCCTGCCTGCCTACATTCCCTAAACCTCGATGAGGCACTGTGATGTTTATAAAGCTTTATCTACATGCTTGTAGATGCTGAAGGAATGCATGATTACTGAAACATCAAAAAATAACACCTGGACAAATAGTATCATACGGAAAAAAACCCGGGATAACTAGCGAGAACACACGCATAATTTCACTTTGTTACCCGCAATTCGGCAGGTGGCTTCAGCGCACTTGTCGGTCATCGGGGGGATCGCCTGACCATGTCAATTAAGAACACAACAAAAACAAGATTTAAATCGCACTTGAAAACGGTCGTTCAAAGCGTTCGTTGACTCTCTAAAGACTGTTTGGCGAAAATTCAGTCCGGAGAATGATCTGCGTTCAGGGCTGCAGTGGTTACAGCATGACTAAAAGTAGAATCCTCAAATTGACGTCACATTTGAGGGGGCACCCCTCTAATATATGTGCGTTTATTTTTGCGCTATAGAGACGGCTTTGGAGTGCTGGTGGCACCTCCTAGGAGCCGTTAAGCACGAATTACCAAAATAGCTAATGCCTATGTCTCTTAGTCAAAGACGCAGTCGAATCATTCTCTCGCGAAAGCTGCCGGCACAAATGTGTGCAGTTTCAAGTTTTATTTGAATCCCAATTGTTATTGCCGTCCCCACTTGCTGTGCTCTAATATTTTACTCAAGAGCATCGACTATCAATAAGCACCCCGTGCGCAACTTGCGGGGGGGGGGGGGGGTTTAGCAGGGCAGGTTTTGCCTAACTTCTTGACACACTTGCATTATATCTTTCGAGCAAAGGGCAAACCGCAATTTTCGTTCTACTGTGCTGGCCTCTGCCGCCTTTCAAGGATTTGGTAGTAGCCAGGAGAACCAGTATCGCCAGAGGCAAGGCCATTCAAATTAAGAGATTCCGCGACTTTTGCGCTAGGGGAAGATCTCGTGCACCAGGGCATCGTCAAAAAGGCGGTTTCCTGAGAAAAAAATAATGCGGAAGAGCAGCATGTACATGCAAACTGCCTGTGCCACAAAGTTTGGCTGGATGTGGAGATGAAGTTGATGCATGGTTAGAAATACTAAAACGACAAAGTAAAAAAAAAAGGTGAGGAGTTCCTGGATCTGAAGTGAAACGGAGGAGAAAAAAATCTTGAATTTAAGACATGTGTACAGTACTTTATCAATTGAGCGAATGTCAATTGATCGAACAAGTCTATTCTATGCATTTTTAATTCCCCCTTTGAAGCACGAATGAATGCAAATGCTGACTGACTCCAGTTTTGCATTTCAGTTATACAAAAAAATTCCGTTACACTCTCCAGCGCCTTTGAGGTCATGATTTTACCTTCAACAGGTAAAATCATACTTTTCGTAGAGGGTATAACGACGTAGAGAGCTCTACGCTTCATCTCAATCAACATGCTTCAATGCAACTACTTGACGTGCCACAATGCAGCTAAACTACCAAACTTTTACGTTGAGAACGACAGTTCATGAAGATATGGCGTGAAGCGGGTTCAAAGTCGCCCCACAATTTCGATAAGGTGCTTGTGTGTTTTCGAAGCCAGCCGTAGACATACAAAGCAACAGCTGCAGCTTTAGCACTACAACCATGGCGGACGTACTACGATTGCCAAACGCAATTGCGGGTATCTGGATATAAAATTGAAACATTTTTGTAGGAGCCCTGCTGCACTTGGAGAAACTGAAGTCCTTCTGTACCCGATTCATAACCGCTGCCGCCTAAGGTGCTCAAGCGAAGCAAAATGTTACTGAATTTTTCGCATGGTCTGTAAATGCAAATGAGCAGCACGAAAAAACTCTGAGTTGAATTTGTATTTGAACACCCGATGTTTTCTCCAGCTTGTGGTAGAAAGCTACAACACATCTGCTTTATTTAACAAAACTTTTACTTTGACGATAATTTTCTTGAGATAATTTATTTTCCTCCAAGCTACGTGTCACTGTATATTGCAAGGGTGCTCATCATCATATTACGGTGTCTTCAAACGGAGTGCTTCAAGACACATAAGAGTATACGCCAATGAATTCTTTTTGTTTTTATGTCCCTGCTGCAATTTCTTGCCGTTTCGTTTACGCAGGTTGTCCAGGCTTTATTCTGGTTCATTGCCTTGTCATGCGGCCTCTGCTGTATGTACATGAAGCTTGACTGGAACCTTAATGGAGAACAGGCTAGCGAGACTAAGCGAATGGTGGCTGCATTTATCGACCGCATCCTCTGGTCAGTCTGTGTCGCTTGGTTCTGGTTCTTCTGCTCAACAGGTAGAGGAGGTAAGACAAGATGCATACAGTATCATGCTGAATTTTGTGAATGTAGTTTTGTTATAAGTGCAATAGTATAAATTTTGGCACCAACATTGGTTCACAAATATATTTCAGAATAACTAACTTTTAGAGAGTCCACGAAAACTTCTTAATGCATTCTCAGTGAAAATCTTTCAGTTAAATTAAATTTTCATTAGTGACTATTTCAGTTGAGTAAAGTTAGTCCGCACATGCAGGGTCACATTTAAGAGCAGCTCAACGAAGTTTTACCTACTGTAGCAGTGGCGTGTTCGATGCGTACCACCTCCAAATCGCCGGCGCATGCGTGGCGGTGCCATATTGCTTGCTCATTGTGTGCCTCCAAGGCAATGTGGCTATGTGGCAGACGTAAACAAGCCACCAGTGCATCAGTACTTGTGCAAACTATAATACTTAGAAACCAATTCTACTTTTCTTTTGTATACGAAAGAAGAGCTGGACGAAGTAGTATAGGCTGAGGCAGGAGATAGGTTTAAATCCTCCATCTCAAACCGAAGCTCTAAGTTGCATTAGAAAATTGCAAGACTTCGCCTTAAAGCAAAAAGCATGGGCTGGAGGCAGTGCACCGTAACGTAGACTTTTTTCGGAGATTGGCCTCTTCTTGCACTTTCCAGGCACCATTTCAAAAAATGCTGCACGGTCCTGTTTAACATAAAGTGCACTTTACACTTTCAGCCTAATATGTGCTCTGTATAATGCTGTTTGGTATTCTAATTATTAATTTTGCAGTGAACTTTCAGTCATGTGAACTACTTCTTCAAATCCCTTTACATTCATGCAACGAATAGTTAACTGTATCAGTTTAAACTACAACACACGTAAAAATAATTTAGCCCACATCTTTAAGCTTCAAATAATTGCTTCCGAAAATTCCCACTCATTGAGTGCTGCTCTAGACCAAGAAAAATCGAAGAATACAGAAAATCAGAACAATAAGAAGTCTTCCTTAGCTTCACGGATCCTTATGACTCGATATAAGTAAATCCCGTATTCACAAACAACTTAAATGTGCCGCCGCAAAACTTGTATAGTGAACCTCATAGCCTAGTATGAACCTGATGTCATGCAAAGCATCTTATACTCACTAGCAGAGGTGAGCAACGTGATTACACAAATGAGAGACTTCCAAGAGAAGTAAAAGTGGGACTCAAGTTTAGTCACAAACTCGGTTGTTATTGTGCCGCGTTTAGAAGGGCTGACTGTTGGGTGAGCTGGTACGTCAAAATAAAAAAAGCGCAGAAAAAGAAGACACAGAGAGAAAGGCTACAGCATGAGGTCTTTGTATACCAAACATATTACACAGAATCGCATGCGCTTTCTGTAAAACATTTTCTATAAAACAGGGCTGGTTAGCCTTCACCGAAGGTTCAGAGTTGAAAGTTTCCAGCTACATTCTCTGTCTGCAATAGGCCACCCACCCCTGGTGGTTTCTTGTTGGCATTGACCGCTGCAACGTGTACTCACCTTTGCCCCAATCAAAGAACATTATCAAAGAAAACTTCAATAGCTTGTAGGCTTTTGTCAAGGCCACTGAAAGTTCTGAAGCATACAAAAGTTTTTATTACTGGTGTTAATTACTATGCATGTAAAACAGCTTTGCGTAAACACACGAGCAGAATACGACTAGTTTATATACTCTTTTATGAAGTTGACTGTTTGTGTTATAGCCTCAAGTGGTCGAGTAGCGAAACAGGAAAAGCACAGTAGTAGAAGAAAAAGAAATGTCACTTCCTCCACCTTTTACACAGCATTCAAGCCACCCGAAGTATGAAACGAGTGTGGCGTACGAACGTAGCACATCATGGAATCTAGCAAGTTGGACTCCTCATGACAGAATGTCAAGCGAGCAATGCATATCCCTAAAATTATTATAATACAGTATCGTTTCCAAGTAAACTCTTGTGATAGTTGTCCCCTTCTAAGCAACGGAAATGTGTCCGTGGGCGCAGTCTCGTGAAACTTGCGGACAAGCGCTCGATGTTGGCCACGTGATACTGTTCTCAAGCAAGGCAGAAGGAAAACATTTGAGCAGTAGTGTTCTGTACAGCGCCGATGAATGGCCAATTGGAGCCTTGAAGTGCTATGCATGATGGCCCGAACTTCAGGGTAGACGAGTTCGCTCCGAGCTCGGTCTTCGGTGGCATTGATATGAAAACAGTGCGGTTCGCGTGATAGCAGCATTAATAAAAACGGCTTCAAGAACGCCCGTGGCGTTGGAAACGCATGTAGAGCAGTTGCGGCGGTTATCAAAGAAACACCGCGTGCGAACATGTCAGCGTCGCTACTCAGTCAACATTTTAACAGTGCAGCGAGGCCAGCGTCATTGCCATGCTCTCTTTTTGCAAACTCAACATGCGCCTGCCACAGGCGTGTACGTGGGCGTTTGTCCTCTTTCGGACAGGTTCTTTCATTCCACCTTCAGCATCAAAATTTGCACTCTTGAAGGCAGCAGGGGTGCAAACGCAGCACTCTTGTGCTTCTCGTTTGGCTCTATCGAATATTACCGTTAAATATAAAGAGAGGTGGACACCAGGGGCGCTGGTATCATGACGGCAATGCGAATGTGATTGGCAACGTGGGGAGCACGGTGAAATTGAGTGCAAAACATCGTAGCCACGTGGTGATATCCCGTTCACTTCTGTGTGTGTGTCCATAGTTTGCGCTATAAAGCTGATAAATTAATTGTGCTGCTCGCCGTGAGTACTGTTTCTCGGCAAGAGGAAACATGGTGGGCGTACCCGATCTTTGCCGCAGGAGTCTGTCAATGAAGATGGTTGACGCGTGAATTCGGATACAAACTCGTTAATTCTGAGATGGCCCAAGTGTACCTTGGGACTGCGATGGTGTTGGTGTGACTGACAAGCATTTCATGTGGTGAACGCTAAGTGGCAGCTTCTTTGTATAAAATATATTGATAAGAATACGCTACTTGTTCAAGGCTGCAGCCATGGAGAACCTTGTGCTACCCTAGCTTTTTGAAGCTTTCCAAGTTGGTCGTCTACTCACGTGCGTGATCGGTTTCGATTGAAGACCGCATCAGCTCTGTCTTAAGTTTCAATGAACTAATTTACTGAGGCTTAATGACCATTACACTGAGCTGTCTTTTCTTCATTGATAAGGCTTCAATTAAAAGACATTCATTTCAGGCGCAATTATCTATGCGATGACCTGCATAAAAATTTTAAACGTAATCCTTATTAGCAGGATTCTATTTATCAATGTATTAGTAAGGGCTAATTAGCCAAACCTCACAGTGGTCTAATGGCTAAGGTACTCGGCTGATGACCCCCAGGTCACGGTATTGAATCTCGGCTGCGACTGCTGCGTTTCCTATGGAGGCGGAAACGCTGTGCCCGCCCGTGTGCTCAGATTTGGGTACACGTTAAAGAACGCCAGGTAGTGGAAATTTCCGGAGCCCTCCTATACGGCGTCTCTCATAATCGTATGGTGGTTTTGGGACGTCTAACCCCACATATTAATCAATCAATCGAAGGCTATGGGCATTGTTTCATTTTGAGTGTTCTTGAACAACGTCACGGTAATTAGCATAGTTTAGTTAGCTCATCAACCAGCGAGCCTTGTTTACCCGGGTCCTAGCTTTACATGGCTTCATCAGCACGGTTTTTTTTAAAATGTGGCGTCCTTACTTCGGCCTTACCACGACTAGCCGTAATTAGCTTGGTTATAGGATGCCCTGGCCTAACTATAGTGGAGCATACCATCAAGCCAAAGAGCTAATTAGGCGGCTGCATGTGCTCGGGTGCTAGCGGGTGATGACAACAAAGACGACGTGCACCGCCCGAACGGCGCGCTCTAATGTACAGCCTGGCACGTGGCCTTGCTAGAATGTACATTCGGACTCTGATTTAGCTGCGGTCAAGATGTTGTAAGATGCTCATCCATTACTGATCTGAAAGGCCGCCATGCTGATTATTCTAAGACAGACTTAGTGCAGGCATTAAAAGCTTTAAAAATAAATTCAACGCCCCTTTCCTAAAAATTTTATCACGAAAAGTTTCTGACTCTTATAATGCATGGGTGCACTTCTGAACTCACTGGAATCACAAACAAATGAAAGAAGATGCCTCTGGTTTGAAAACACCGCCCAACTTAGTCGACCATCCTTAACGCGACGACTGGTTCCATAGTAACCATTAAAATGCAACGTGTTGAGGGGTGAATTTGACTTTTTCATTCTGTTGGCTCACTCATTAGGGGCAGTCACCAGAGCTCGGGAATATTCCAAGTTTCATGAAACTCGGCCAATCCTGCATAGTGCCCTTGAAATATTTGGTTTGGGCATTTTTCCTATTTCGGGAAAAATTACTTCTTCGAAAAAAATTCCAGCATGTACAATCCTCTGCCTGATTGTAGCAATGCACGCCAACACGCACAAACTCGCACACGTTTACATGTATAAAGAGTATGTGTGATATGTTTACGAATATTGAAATCATGGCTAATGGCTAAGATTCTGCACAAGACAAAAGCACAGCCTTCGCATTTTATGTGCTGTAAGTAGACTGTAAGTACGTAGGTTTCGTGCCTGACGGTCCGGAGAGAACAAGAAATGGCTCCATGTAAATATCAGCACCAAACTTTAAGGGTTATGCCTTTGCGTGTTGCAAACGCCAGAGATAAATACAGAAGGTAATGAAGCAGTGCAGAAAAGGCACAAGCGTTCGCACATAGCATGACGGAAACACCCCGCTTGCATTAGCGTCCTTTTTTATGTCTGCGTGATTGTGTCTTTTGAGCGTACTGATGGGGTGGATTGATGGATTGTCGCGGAAGACTTCGCCCAGAATCCAACCTCCATTCTTTTTTTTCTACCACACTTTGTCGAGAAGCAAATATCAATTAGCTCGTTGCAGACCATTCCCACCGGCCGAATCAGTGACACTCACCCGTCGTATGCCTTCAAACTGATTACATGCACGACGTCAATTTTTTTTCTTTTTTTTTTG